AAAGTGCTCAGTGTACTGTCGCATCGTATTCTAATCCAGAAAATTTACCTCAAACTTTCATCGAACAATTCTTTACACCTTGTGAGAATTATAGCCCTTTTCCACCACCTAGAAGTAATATAAGACAACAAAATCTTTACCCTGCTTTTCAAACTTCACCCCCAGAAAAGGAAAACCCGCTCCCACAACAGTATTTCGGTTCCACAATCTCGCCAAGGTTTATCCAAAACTATGACTGTTATCCAATGCGATATTCTATGGTTACTGGTGCATACTCGAAATATGGAAATCATACAACCCCATGTGCAGAAAATGTACAAAAGTTCCATATTCACAGTTGTAATCCGCACGAATCACCTAATCATAGAAATCTTCACGAGTATGGTACGCCACAACCAGAGTTGATTAGGAAGAAACGGCTTAAATATTGTTGTCATAAAATTCCAATCAAAAATGACAACTCCTCCTATCGAATATATAACACTTGTATGTGTGCATCTAAACGTTGCGCACTGATGAAAAATGACGTGACTGAGTCTGCATCCAGTACTATCACTGGGTGTTCTGATGGCAGAAGAAGTAGCTCAAAGTATTACACTCACGTGTATCCTGACAAAAAAACCTTTACTGGACGACATCACAATACCATTCGCTATACTGACAGTAATAGTCAAACTAACAGGAAAACTCCTATAGTCAAAAAAATAGTTAAGTATGTGGATAGTGAAACATCCATGGATTCGTGTTTTGAAGACCGAAGACGTTTCTTCGATAACGAAAGATTTAGAGGAGGTAGGTGTGATGAACGAAGTTATAGAAGAGGTAAGAACAGTCGTAGGAAATATTACGATGGCAGGAGAGATTACGATGAAAGAGAAAGTAATGGGAGAAGAAGACGTCGGAACTTATATTACGACGATTACTATTAAGAGGAATTAATCAGTTTTCAAAATTTGATTAATGTACTTATGTTTAGAAAATAAGCTTAATATAATAAACTCATAAGACAATATACCAGTTTTAAGACATCTGTCAAACTTACTGACTTGTGAAAACGTCAGTTACGTAAATTCATTTCTTTATTATATTTTTTGGCCTTTAGAAGTAAATTTTGAAGTAATATGTATCTTTCTTCAACTATCCGTCTACTAAAATGAAAAGGAGATCTGTATTAAAGTGTCCAATTTTACAGTCTTCATAAAAAAATAATAAAAATATAAATGTAATAATGTTCTCGAAAGACAAAAAGGCTGGACTTTTTGAACGATTCGATATAAAAAAGCTTATAACAAAATTACACGATAAAATTAATTGTCAAAATGAAGAAGCATTTCCGTACTTAAGTCGATCTTCTTCGGAGATCTTAGAAAATGATGAAGAAGTCGAACTCGTGGGCAAGCGATTTTACAGCGAAATTGATTTGAAACTTGCACCATCGGACGGTACAGACTTCACACTGAAAAAGTACATTTTCAACCGTCTTCAAAAATTTCGTAATACAAATCAAGATAATGCGGTTGACGAAAAGGAGACAAAATTCCTTTTCAAATCGCCCATTTTGCGACTGAAGTCGAACAAAAATATTAAACGAACATGTGCAGTCGACGAAGAATTCGTACCACCAAAAGCAAGCGTTATTGAAGAAAACGATACAGAGATGAAGGAGAGAAGAAGACGAAGAATAAATTTGATAAGGCGAATGTGGTCAGGACTTGTAACGCTTCCCAAAGAAAGTGAAGATGTACTGTGCACAAATATAGCCCCGAAGGGCTGTAATGTGATAACAGGCAACATAAAGAAGAGACCACAATCGGAATCTAATTCTTCTATTGATAAACGTAACATTACCGAAAAAGAAAAAGTGGAAGAAGCTGAATTCACAGCTGACTGTGAAAATAATAAAGAAATGAGGCAAGAATCTTTTGATTTTGAGAAACACAGCAATGAAATAAAATTATGTGAAAGCAAATCTTCTGACTCCATTTTGCGTCAACCCTATCCTGAATTAAAATTGGCGACACATCAAACGCCATCAACGTCTCCAGAAATTAGTAACAATTCAAGTTCTAGTAACGAAAAAGTAAAAAGTGATATTAAATATGATCTTGTTAAAGAAGACGCAGCAATAAAAAAATACGACTCTCAATTATCCTCATCTTCAGAAGTCGAACTAAATACGTGCAAAGTAACAGAATCGAAATTATGTCAACAGCACAGTGTTTCCTTTTCAGAACACAGCAGTAATAGTAGTAAAGGTAGTGCTAGTTGCAGTTCTAGTTCTAGTAATGCTAAAAAGCCCAGTTTAATATGTATTTCCAAAAGCAGTAGAAACGAATGTGATGAAGTTGGAAAAGCTCGCAGTAAAAGCGTGTGCGGGAATATTTGCAGGTTTTTATGTTCCAAAAAAAATAAATGTCCGAAAGAGAATGCGTGCAAGAGAAATTTACATGAGAACCAAAAGAAGAAAAAAGGAAAGATGTCAAAGAAAGAATTAAACTGTGAAAAAGAAATTTTTCTGGAAGATATAAAAACCAGCAATAAAAGAATGTCAAAAGAAAGTATTTGCAAGAAAGAAGAAGTATGTTCTTCAAGAAAGTTAGATAAGGAGGAAATGAAAAGAAAGCCTTCGAAAACATGCAAAGTATGCAAGAAAAATTCAAAAATGAAATCTGCATGTGGTAAAAGACCATCAAAAGGACATACATGTAAGAAAAGCTCGTGTGACAAAACACCAAAAGTTACATGCACGTGTGGCAATAGGAAGCTGTCAAAAGAAAAGCTATCCACAACAAGATGTTATAGAGAAGACGAAGAAGAAGATGCACAAGCGACAGTTATTAAATGTAAACCTGTTAGAGATACAGAAGATCAATATAAACGTAACAAATTGAAAGTTTGTGGTAGGAAATGCCCCACTCTTGGAAAATTACTCGAAGACAGTACGTCACCATCGAATTCATTTCAATATAAAAAGAAACTTTGTGAAGATTTATCATCAGACGAATTATCGTTGCCGCCTTGTCTGGTTCCGAACAAAGAACAAAAAAATAAAACCAAAAAGAGTGCCCGAATAGTAGCACCATTCGACAGCTCTATTTATTTAGTCCAGCCCAGTTATGCGACGGTTGTTTCGTTCAGAATTTTGACAGCCATCTGTGTACTATCGTTCATAAGATTCATGTTTACCGTCGGGCTCATACGGTATGGCATGGTGGCGTTCACAGTGGCCGCTGCCTTTTCTGTAACAGGTTTATTGGTGTCAACGAAGAACTTTGAAAAACAAAATAGTAGCGAATCTTTGGACCATTACAATATGACGCACGCTTTTGTCAATGCGCTTCTTGTTCCTTTTGTGGCAGCGGAGATGTGGAGTTTGAACACTTACGACAAATACATGAACAGTTTTTATGCGCTACTAAGCCTTGGTGCTGTGCCGGGATACTTTATGACAGATAAGGAACCTGTTCAAAAGCTGACTGATACTATGGTCACTTTGGGTTTGATAATTCTCATGGCGATTAGCGTTCTTCATCAAAATACTGCCGGACTAGCTGCAGCCATTATCTACGGCGTTGCATTTCTTTCTGATGATGATCTACTGTCACAGATTGATATGGACTTGTTCTTGTTTACTAATATTGGACGTGGATTGTTTATCTATCTTTCTTCAATGGCATTACGAGGCGCGAGAAGAGATGGAGTAGTTTGTCTGTGTCATGCTCTTCATCGGAATTAGAACTCAAAAATGTATTGATGACTTTTTCTAAGCAATCTGTTCGTCTTTATCTTGGCCTACATTTTGTTTTCCTATTCGAAGCGCGGTAGAGGCAGTCATTTTTTTTTAAAGGTTGTTTTTGTGGGTCAAACTTTTGTCTAAAATAAACTCTAAGATCTTTTGGGCAAAAATTGCTTTTTACTTTTACGTTGACAGTCAGACATTATTGAGAGTTTTCCATTATTATTATTATTTTTTTTGATAAAGAAGGTTAGAAATGGTAGGAGAACAGAAGACGCATGGACGTCAATAAGAAATAGGGGAGATAAGTCGGTAAGACACCTTCTAAGGCATGAAGGCTAGTTAAAATCCTATATTAGAAGCAGAAACAGAAGTTAAGATTAAGATTAGATTAGTTTTAGGGAATTGCGAAGATTAGCTCAGGATAGGAAGGAATGGAGGTGCGTGTCCAATTAGTATGATGATGATAATACAGAAATTCATCATATATGTTATAGGATATTAACATAATCATTTGTACATTGCTTTATTTAAAAAGTAGGATCTATATACAGTACAGATTATTTAAAATAATCGAATCAGAAATTCCTCTTTATATGACTCTTGACGTGCATTCGTGACAATTTCTATTAAGCATGGTAGATTGCCTTATGTGCAAAGAAACAGTAAGTCGCTAAAACGTAAATTTCATAGTCGTTTTGAGGGTATGTCCTTAGAGTGGACTTTTCTTGAACTATCACTATATAAACATAAGCAGCTGCGGCCATCAATCCCCACCCATTTTTGCCCAAGAGGGAAATCACAACCAGTAGGACGACTGATCCTATATGAGCTGCGAGTAAACAATTTTCTACTGTTGTGTTTTCAACGCTTAGGAACAACAGAAGAGGTATGATGCATATCAAAGGATTGGGTATGGTCATGCACGGATATCTGGAACGTTCCGACCAAATCTGGATCACCAGGATGGGCAGAGAAAACATTTTCGTAACCCAGAAGCTTATTTTGTACAATGTGAAGAGGTCATTTGAACAGCACAGCTTTTTAGACAGTCTAGCGACTCCCAGTAAGGCGTGGACGGCAATAATGAAGAAAATTAAAAACGACCATAAANTACAACACCTGATAAATCATTTTTAGGCTGTTCCTTAAAACTTCTAGGGGGTTGTCAGTTGTCCAGTATGAGTTATAAAGAATTGCTCGTTGCAATAAAAGATAAATTAGAGAAAGATAAATATTTTATTAACAGTATAAGAGAAGAGAGGTCAATTTTGAGATTAGTTCTACATTCTTTGGGTTCTGGCATGTGGCTAAAGAATGAAAAATATTCTGAGGAAGAGAGCAGAAATGCTTTAAATACATTTATGTATAATTTAAGGTCTTTACTAAGATGTAGCTTTGCGGTTGCCATTGTAACAGTACCATCGCATTTGTACTCTGAGGTTGGTGACTTTAGTGACTTTTACTGGTCTTAAGTTAACAGGTTAATTAATTACAGTCATTTACTTCGAGATTATACAATTTGTGCGACGTGGCGATAAAATTAGAGCCCTTTGCAGGCACAGCATTAGAAAATAACGTTGCTTTGTCAGATTTTCATGGTTACTTTCATTTAAAGAAAATGTCTCCTATAAATACTTTAGTTTCAAAACATCCTGGGTCTGTTGAGTATGTGTTCAAGCTTAGAAGAAAGAAATTTTGCATTGAAATGCTTCATTTACCTCCAGGCAAGTTTTTTTGTGTGCAATAATGTTTACAGTAAAAGTAATTGCAATATTTACTTTTGTATTTTAATTATTGTTTTTGGTTTTTGAGAGTATTAATTATTCTTGTAGATTTAGGAGATGATGATGGAAGTCGCAATCCAAAAATGGGTTGTAGTACTGGTGGTGGAGGTGATTTAGATTTTTAATAACAACATAAAATATAAAGATATGTTAATACTATTTTTTAATCCTTTTTTGCTAATAAAACAGTTAAAGATAATTTGTGTATCTTTTTCTTTTGATGATTACTAAGGCTCTTTAAAATAACATTTTAATCTAATAATAATTCGAAAGTAATGTTTACGTAGGTCCTTTTATCGTATAATATGATATTATAGGCCTTACTATTCTGCGTTCATCGAAAAAGAATGCAGAACGAGTGGTAAAACGGCTTATGCGTGCCAACTAAAACTTAAAAATAGATATATTTTTGCGTAAAGTTAATTGATGTTACTAGAGGGTGATTGCGTCTAAATATCAATAATTATGTTCTTACATTATTTAAATTTCGTCATAAGTTGAAACTTGCTTTTTATTCTAATACTCATAGTGACTGTCTAATTACAATAAATATAATAAAGTGTAAGTTCTGTGTGCAATTACACTTCTAAGTAATGTTGGTTGCGTGTACTCAAGGAGAAATGAAAATGGGCGGCGTATACGAACATTTGAATTTTTAAGTAATCTTGGTTGCATATCTTAAAGTAAGGATTTTAATTAAAATAGTTGCAGATTGGTAGCATTTTACAATACAATTTGGTTTATAATGTTAAATTATTTCTATGCTAGTAATTAGCATTCTATTTTTACAAACTATTTGAGTTTTGGAGTGATGTTAGTTGTATATTTGTACTTTCGAGTGAGAGTTTTAAATTAAATGATTGTTTTGAATTCAGCAGGTAATAAGTGTTCAAGTAAGTTTTGTCTTAATTATTGTAATGTAAAAAACTTAAACTGGTATATTAGTATAAAACGGTATATTTTACATAATTCTATTAAACATCGATATGACATAAATGAGTTAAATAAGGCTTTACACAAGTTGAACGATTTGTTTTCAATATTTAAACAATTCTACGTCTAACATTGAGCATCGAGTGTGAAATTTTGATTGCGCATGTACATGAAAATATTAACGAAGTATTATAGATATTATTTAATCTGTGGTAAACTTTTGTCACTTGTCTATGCCTGTCACTATGTGTTTACCCCTAGTTCAATGGTTTACCCTTTGTAGATCTATTATCTATGTTTATGGTTTGTTGTAACCTAACTTTTTATAATGTGTGGGTGTACTTGTTTCGTATGAAAACTTTATAATTTTTATGATTTTCAACACAACAAAGTAATAATAAGATTTTGTAAATAAAATGGAACAAAAAACTGAACAAAGAAAGACAATCAAAAGTATTTTGTCTATACCAGGAACTCGCGCTAATGTGCAAAGTGGTCAACTTCTTGTGTCTAGTGGAATACCAAGCGTTGATGAACTTTTAGGTATAGTTAAATAAATATCACAACTTGATTTTCTTTACGTTTTTCTCTTCTGTTGAAAATGTAGGCGGTGGTTTACCTGTTGGATCAGTGGTGCTTATTGGTAAGGCATTACGGTTCTACTTTTGTGCATGTTTAATGCACAACTATTTTTTTAGAGGAAGATAGTGGTGGTTCCTATTCTCGAGTGATGTTAAGGTATTTTTTAGCAGAAGGAGTTGTTCACAAGCATGCTGTTTTTGTGGGAAGTCAAGATTATAATCCTGGAAAAATGGTACTTATATGAATTAATAATGAAGATTTCTTGTTTTAAATAAAATTTTATTTTATGAGAGACTAAAGAGCTTCCTGCTGTTATATCTTCAGATCCAGAGCCTGAGCTTCTTGATGAGCACAAAACAGATAAAATGACAATAGCTTTTAGATATCAAAAACTTCCAAAAGTAAAAAAGCAGACCACTCACCATTTTGGAAATTATTATGATTTATCGAAAACAATGTCTCAGGAATGTTTTGATAATGTGAACATTACAGAATGGCCAGATCAGTCTGCATTGGGTAATGATGCTGTACAACACCTGATAAATCATTTTTAGGCTGTTCCTTAAAACTTCTAGGGGGTTGTCAGTTGTCCAGTATGAGTTATAAAGAATTGCTCGTTGCAATAAAAGATAAATTAGAGAAAGATAAATATTTTATTAACAGTATAAGAGAAGAGAGGTCAATTTTGAGATTAGTTCTACATTCTTTGGGTTNTAAGGGCAATGTCGATGTAAAATAATTTGTAATTAGTTAATAACTCAAAAAGTAAAACTATTAAATGTAGTAATAGGTAATAGTTCGCTTAATTAGTAATGGGCGGAAAATGCTCTTCAATATTTATATATATACAATACAATAAATGAGAATATATACTAATTTAATTGATTACACTTTATGTAAGTACTTATTTTTATGCGTATGATACTTTTCTAATTGACTATTAATATCAGTAAATTGTTTGTTGAGTAATAATAACTTATTGTTGAATACTGGTAACGTTAACTGATTTGGCGTAAATAATGTATAGGTAGGTCATTATGAAAGAGCTAAGTCAGTTAATACCGGAATTCTTTAGTTAACACTGATACTAGCAAATTATATTTGTAACTAAAGATTTTTGTTAAATGTAGTTACAATGTGAATTTCATTGGTAATTAATTTCGTGGCAATTTTTGTGATGAAAACTGTACAGTTTTTAGGAATCAATTTAATAATTAACCCCAAAAAACTCAAAATTAGTTGAATTAAAGGTGTACCTGTCAAAAAATTAAAAATTTTGGCGAAGAATTTGTGTCTCTTACGTCTTTAAGTCTCTGACAGGACCAGTAGTTTGGTCAACGAGGCCCTTTTTCCATCGGAAATGAATATTTTCATTACGAGGCAATTTTATTTTTGGTAAAATAGTAAAAACAAAATACGCTGTATTCTGAATGTTGTTTTCCACAGTCTGAGATGTTGGTGCTACATTTCTTAATTTAAAAATTTTTAATCGTATGTTTACCGCTCTTTCATAACATGGAAAGTGCTTTAAAAAACAAAGGCAACAAAATGAATGTTCTAAGACTTTCTGATGTTGAGATATACGCCAGGTAAACAAATATGTTGTCAAAAAAATAGGTCCAAATCGATATTTTTCAAAAAAAAATTTTTTTGAATATTTTGGCTTGGTTTCAGTAGAAAAAAATATTTACAACAAAAATGGCGCATTTTGAAGTTAAGTGGAAAAAATCGATCACTTCCTATTGTGGATAATAAAATTCAGAATCAGCGTATTTTTTTACTATTTCATCAAAAATAAAATTATGTTTTAACGGAAAATTGAAGTCATCTTGCTTCCTTGACTGGGCTACAGACGATTCTTATTTTTTTTTAATTGATTTGATAAATATGACGATCTAAATTTATTAGTTCTTTGGTTGACTTTTTCTGAAAGTGTTTCATTGTTTTTTGTTGTCTATTTATACAAGACATTTTCCAAAATCATTCTAGAATTGTATTGAAACTGATCATTTATGTTACTATTACTTTTTGGGTTTCAATTGTGTGGATTTTATTATGCGCCGACGTTTTGCGGGCTTTCAAGTTTTCCCTGAAGAAGTAAACTACAACAGTCACAAAACGTTGTATACAATAACATCCGCATAACTAAAAACCGAAGGATTAATAAGAGTACTCGTTTAGGAATCCTAAAAACATTTAGTGAAACGAATTTTAATAATAAGAACGTTTAAGATTTTAATTAGACACTGCAAGATGCGGATCGCGATTTCGATCTTATTAGATCTCATCAGCGCGTCATATGCTGTCTTGATAAATTATTGACTAAACTGAAAAAGCTTCTAAATAAATAAGTACTTCTCCTTTTCATTGACGTGGGTAATTCGGGGTTAAATGTAAAGTATACGTAAATATGTAAAAGTACTGCTGTTATGGAGTCTATCCAACATTTGTATTTCGTATTATTATATGTTACACCGTGTGCCTTCAAAAAATATAATTATTTTGATATTGTTATCTAATACAGGTTTTACCTATGCGAATAGTTTAGGAAATATGCAGTATGTGCTTCATTAAGGTGGTCCTTCATATGGTCACCTCTAATTGTAGGTGGGTTTAAATATTTCTAAATTTATAGTAAGCTGAAACCCTAGGTTCCTATCTCAGTTGTTATCATTACTTTAAATCTATCAGCTTTTCGTATTTCATGAATTATGTTGTAGGTATTGTGTGAAAAACTTTTTTTTATGAAATAATTTTCGGACTAAAGCTTGATGAAAAGAATTACCTCATTTGCTATTTACTTTACAGTACGTATTAGGTACTTAAAATTAATTGTATATATACGTGTAATAGTATTAATTTCTCCTATTATCGTTTCTTAAATTCTCTATTTTGAAAATTAAATGAATTGAACATTTGAGAATATTCATTTTCTGTGTTAACTTTTGATGAACAATTAATTCTCTCTAGTTATATAATTTTGTTTAATTTTTTTTCCATCTTTAACTAATTTAGAAAAATATGTAATATAGTGACAAAAATTGCATATTTTTTTAAATTAAAAGAATCAGCAACTTCGAACAGAGGTTAGATTTGAGATAGGGTTGTAGAATTTTACATTTGGAGATATTTAAGTCCATGGGAGCATTGATATTAAGATATGATCATATAAAGGACTTCGCTATGCTTCATGTATGTATATATTTTAATACTTAAATTACGGTTTGTTCATATCACCACAAAACTTATAAAGAAATACGTACCTACACATTTTATACATATGGTTTATAGATAAAATATTGAATTTTCATTAAAAGTGTTCGAGTTTATTGATTTCAAAATCATAGCTGTAGATTGCAGTATTTTTATTAAAACTAGAATCCTAATCTTTATCGTACACTTATTACATTGACATATTGAATTAAATAGACTTAAGTGTGTCTATAGTACAATATATAGAGTTGTTAAAAGGTAAAGTTGACTTCGTCCAGCTACTCTGTCACCAAAATTAATTTTTTTTTATCTAAATGCGTCTTTAAGAATTCTATGTAAGAGTTATTAAGCACTATTTATTTTTTTCACTTTTTGTGACTAATTTTTCTTGTAGGTATGTATGGGGAAATGTTAGTTTATTGAAACATCTTGTTTAAAACAGTTTGTTTTGTTGATTAGTTTCATATTAATACAATTTGATGGTATTCAATACGCCTTGGCTTTTAGCTCATTTTTGACTTTAGAATTTTAGCGTTTGAAATGGGAAGAACGAAGGCTTTATATGGAAAATTTTATCATATTCCAATTTTCCAAAATATCGATTTTGGAATCATACTTGTATCTACAGAAAATAACAAATATATGAAGTTCGGATATTTTAAATGAACGAGTTGCTAGTATTTAAATAAAATTTTTAAACGAATTTAGGAAGTTATCAGTCTAAATTGACTTCATATGGGGTTACTTTGGATGCCGAACACAAAGGAAAAATCTAAGGGATACATCCAGACAGGAATAATTTTTTCCCATAGGAAACGAGATTTCACTTTACAAAGGTTTAATTTGATGTCAATCAGAATTTTTTTTGGACGAAACAGGGGCCTTATGTAGTTTCGAATTTATGTTACTTCTAAAAATCTAAAACCCTTATTTAAAACGTATAGAAGCACACAAAATTCGTATCATGCTCATAATCAGTGTTATGCTAACCCTCGAAAAAATAAACTAACATCATACTTACACCTTTAACATACTTATGTACTTACCATATTACATAACATCTCTAATCAACAATAACAATGATTCGGTGTTTAGTTTGCATTTTTAGTGATTTCCTTCTCGCTTCTTCTCAATTTCTCTTCGATCTGATCACTGACCGCTTCTTTCAGCAGGCCCCACAGTTCCTTTTTATCCAGCAGAATGTATCGATCGTTTTTAACATCAGGATCGAAATCCCTTTCACTTGTGTCAGGTTGATCGTCGATTTGCTGAAGATACTTTAACGAAACGTCACTGATCTTCGTGTTCACGTGTTTTGGAACATATGTTTGAGCTGATTGCTGATGGTGATCAGTCAAAGTTTCATTTTTGGGTAAAGAATCGGTCGATTCTGTACTTTCTTGTCTATCAATGTCGTTATCCAAAGAAGAAGATTCAATTATGGAAGTAATTGTGGAAGATACTGCTGAAGAAACGTTTTTGTTATTGTTCAAATCGCTTTCATCTGTACTGGTTCCGTTCAAGGAAGAAGTGGTTACAAAGTCTACTTCCCTATTTTCGCAGTGACTGCTTATATTTTCACTGCGATCCTCCATATCTTCAATCATGACATTTATTGACTTTTGGTTTACATGAATGGGATATTCTGTCTCTTCTGGAGACGCAGGCAAAATTTCTTTTGGAACGTCCTCAGTGGCATTTTCCTTGTCCGCTGTAATTGATTTGGTAACTTTTGCCTGACAACTGTTGCAATCTTTCATGCAGGTGACCGAGTCGTCGGCTTGGGTTCTGTTAGCGAAAGCGTCTTTGCCAAACCAGGTGATCAAATCGTCGTCGGCGATTCCTCGGAGTAAGGAGCTTCCTGATTTTGCGTGAAAGAATACACTGGACGCTAAATCTTCCCGTGAAGGCGGATAAATCCTTGCGTAGGCTGGACGGAGGGATGTGATTATGGTACTGCTGGAAGCGATAAATTGAAAACATATTAGACAGTCGTCAGTGATGTTGCCAACTATGAACCAAACGTTTCCGGAGTTGTAACCGTACTCAGTGAGCGAAACGTATTTTTGAGGCTCTATGACAATTTGGTTGGGGCAGGTTAGCTCGTATCCAGAGAAAAGGAAAATTTCTACACGGATAACTCCTGAAGGTTGTGGTCCCTTCCACCTTAAAAAGAATAAAATTTCGTGAACAGAAAACTATCGATCCCATTATGAATTAGTTTTAAGTACCTGAAACAAGTTCGTATCTTTAATATGGGCAGTTTCCCTTCAATTTCTTCTACTGAATTCTTTCCAGGAAGAATTTCTTGAACCACTTGGGCAGAAAGGTCAAACAGTGTTGCATTGTGCTGACTTTCGTACGATGAGTACCTCATTTTTCCCTAAAAATATTAATCAGTACCTTTTCATTCGCTCATTAACTCATACCTGTATGGTTCCACATCCAGCCCCCGTTGCGTAAATAAAGACTTTAGTTGGCAGACTTGGCAAGTGCAGCTCCTGGGTTGGTTTTTCTGGAGTTAGCAGGATTGTATCGGTGAGTTCCATGCCCGATGTGGCCAAGGAAACGGTTAACGACTGGTGGTGGTTTTTGACGAGTTGGTTGTACTGGGATAGTGCTTCTACGGTGCGATAAAGGAGTTCAGGGTGTACGTCCAAAACGTAGGAACGGTAGAATAAATATCGAGTTACAGACTCGGCCATTTTTAAATCACCAGTTATGGAAAATACTGACAGGGCGTAAAGAGAACCTTTGAAATCTTCTAATGTTCCTAAAACAATGATTAACGAAAAAAGGGAATTAATGTGAACTGAGAAATATTTGGGTACAAAAACAATTTACAGTTGAATGCTTAGGTATTTTGTTTAACTGTTTTACAAATTTGTTGTCGTCTATATTGACGACAGCTGTTTTGCCTTTCGACATCTGAGTGGTGAGAATCTGGAGTCTGATTGATTATTTATTTGTATAAATAAACGATCATGATCCTATTTTTTAGTTTTTGTTTTTACTTTTCCGTGTTTAATGTAGGATTCTTTGTGTCGATAAATAGAGGGAATTGAGAATGTGAATAGTATGGAAAAATTTGTTTATCAAAACTTTGTGAAAACTGTGGAGGGCTTTAATGCATTTTCCGGGTTTTTGGAACTTTATGTGGTCGCAGGCCTTCTTTTCAATGATATCCCACTGAAGATGTCAGAACCTATAGCTAGGAAAAAGTATGGAGAGGTCATCATCATCATAAGGACGTTAGTCCTAAGACTAGTTGGAGACGCACCTCCACTCTTTCCTATCCTGAGCTAATCTTCGCATTTCCGTAAAACTAGAACAACCCATGTCCTTAACTATTTGCGCCCAGTCATCTAATTTAGGTCTACCTCTACCCCTCCTAACATCCGTTTCAGCCTCTCATATGTCTCTAACTACACCTTCATGCCTGAGAAGGTGTTCTACTAACCTATTTCGCCTATTTTTTATTGGCTTCCTAATTCCTTTCTAATACCTCTTCATTTCTAACCTTCTCTATCCACGGTACCCTGAACATTTGCCTATAACACCACATTTCGAACGCATCTAACCTCTTCTTTTCCGTCGCACCCACTGTCCATGTTTCGCACCCGTACAGCGCCGTGCTCCAAACATACACCTTTAACAACATTTTTCGAATTTCTAAATTAATCATTCGCAAGCATAGAAGTGACTTCTTCATAATGAAGGCGACTCGACCCTGCGCTATCCTCTGCTTTATATCCCTACTACTTCTTCCGTTCTGACTTATCTGACTTTCTAGAAACCTAAAATCAGCCATTTCTTCTAATTCTTCGTCTCCTATCTTTATATTCGCTCTTTCCCAACTTTTCCTTCCCTTGCATACCAGTAGTTTTGTTTTACTTTTATTTATTTTCATACAGTACTGTTCTGTCAAAACCGCTTCCATTTTATTTAAAGCTATCTCTAACTCCTCCTTGCTAGATGCTAATTAATTTATTTAACATTGTGTAAAGCTTTTTTTAAATCTACTTATCCTATGTACGCCCTCTTTTTTTATCGTTTTCTCTATTGTTATCAGTAAAGCTTGAATGGCTTCCCTCGAGAAGGTATATGATGAAAAACCAAAATCCGAAAGAATGTCTCAAATGCCATGAGGAATATTTTCTAAAATGTCTTAAATGCCCGGAAGAATGTTTCCTAAATTATCTCTTTAACAGTGATTATAGGTCTTATATTGTATAAGTTTATATCCTTATTTATATTTTTTGCAAAAGATTTTGTTTTAATTGAAAACCAGCCAGTATATCATCGTTTTTTAGGTAAATATTTATTTATCTGTTCTGTCTGCTGTTGTAGTATAACTCGTTGACCACAATCGACGTAATGTCCCCATAATTATTGATGTGCTCGTCTAAAATCGGGGTTTATCGTCAGTCAGTACGAATGTCTAACGTCTGATAAACCAAGTACTACAGAGACGAGAGTAGGTTTTCCGTGAATGCATGTCCACTGTGAAGCTAACAAACGATTTGCGTTGTGCTTCAACAATTTCAGTTGTTATTAATTAGTAATTGGTTGTGTTTTGCTGTGGTCAATTTATTTCACTTACCAGTTACGGGTTCCTTGAAAACTTTTGCATTATCCGATTCGTAAAGCCAGTCGGCCGCGTCCCGTTTGGAATTGGCTTGTGGCCATCCGAATTCTCCATCTTCTGTGGTTGATGCGTTTCGTAATTTTTCAATTGCCCATGAGGAAGTGGCACTTTTAAGAAGCACCAAGGCTAATGTCACTGCTGCTAATGCTTCCGACGTTTTTATTTCGGGTAAGGAATTTTCCAAAAATATTTTCGCTTTCTGAATGGCGTCCACATCGGAGTCGTCTTCAATGCCAATCTCGTAGAAACCTATCACCGTTTCGGCCGTAATTTCGGCGATTTGATCGTACAGAAGGACGTCGTTCTTACTAAAATTTATTTTGAATGGTGAAAATCAAAAATTTACTGGGTACTTAATATTAGGATGGTCTGGGAATAAAATTGTGATTGCGTTGTTCGAAATGGAGCTTAGTGGTCAGAACATTGGCACATAAACCCAAAGATCTCGGGTTCGATTCCCGGCGGGGGTGTGACAACGGCAACAAAAATTTTAAATCTTTTTGTGTAAAGACAATCTGATGGTAGCTTTCTGTAGGCATTTAAAGTTTTGTTAATTTTACTTCATTGAACTGTATTGAACGATCCAATTTCAGTTTTATTTTTTTTACAGGAGATGCGAAGGACTCAAGGACAAGAGAGTCAAAACGAGGAAAAGAAAGGAAAATTTTCATTCTTCTTGAGCTGTCTGAATATGTAAGTCTTTTTACTGATTTTATTTTATACTTACTTGGTATTGATTACGTTATATGAGTATTTGACATCTGCTGGAAGAGGTGTAAAACTGCCGTCATCCTCTTGTCGCATTTGAAGCCAACGTTTCATGCTGTCTAAAAGGTCAGGGTCAATGTTGACCAAGTTTTGGGCCTTCATTAATACTTCCAGGGTGGCCAAAGTCGAAATGTGACTTTCGATCATGCGATGTTCGCTGAACGAATTCTCGACTTTTCTATAAACCATTACTTTTTGAATCTGAAACAACAAATAAAGTAAAACATTTGAGATGTTGATGTAATTAAGGATGTTTGGGAGGTACAATCGGTACATAAAATTAGAAATTCGTGATTAATTAGGTTTTGCAGCATATCATTAGGTAAATAAATACTATCTATACTAAAAAAAAGTATACGGTTTGAGAGAAAATTTGGAATTTGACCACAAACTTTAAAAAAAATAAGAAATAACGAATAATATGGAAAAATTTTTAACTGACTTTTGGCAGTGAATATGCTTTGATTTCAACTTCGAGACAAAAAAATATGTAGTTTCAATCTCTATTAATAATGAGCGTAAAACTTTTTAATATGTTTAAATAATAATTAAAACTTTAAAATTGCATTTATTTCAGACAATTATAAATATTATCATTATATTATCAAGTAAAAACGAGATTTTCAGCTAATTTTTCATTTTTTCCTCGATAACCATTTAGTGAATTTGAATAACCTTACGCTAAAGTGATTCTCCAGAGTTCAAGTTACTTATTATAAAAGTTTGAAATTTCTGGTAGCTTTTTTTCTGTTAATAAAAATAAATTTAATCTGTTCGGTTAACGAATCTCCATAAAATGACGTGTAAAATTACAATTTTTTAAAATTTCAATAACTTTTTAACGGTTTAGTGAATCGATTTGTAATTTTTGCAGGAGTTTTAAAATTGAATGAGGAACGTTCTTCCAAATTTTTATTTGTCTCGTAGCATTTTGACATATCTCCCAAACATCCTTATGGAAAAAAACAGAAACTATAAACATGAACTTGCGAAAAAATTATTTCTTACATGTTTCAATAAAATTTCGTTAAGACATGACCCATTAAACTTTTTGCTGTTGGCAATTAACGATGAAATTGACGATAATGTGCGAAGTAATCCGCCTTCCAGACGTTCGAGGGTTGGTAACGTCGGTACGACCAATCCTGATGTAATCAACAGCTTGCCTGTTTCTGATCCTGGGACCACCGATTTTGGTGTGTCTAAATGTAAAACTTGCGAAAATCCTGATTCGTCGTTGAAATTCCAAATTCTGAAGCAAAATAAATATGCATTACATATCTACGTACTTGCTTAGATAGCAGGTTGATTAAAAAAGGTTACGGGATGATCGGCCGCACAGCTCATGCGTACTATGGTAAAACGCGTGCCACACAAATACATGTTTTCGTGAAATTATTGTTCAAAAAGGTTCGAAACTATTACAAATAATGAAATAATTCTTGGTTATTGGAGGAGTAATACTAATTATAGGTAACCCCGTAATACTTTTTTAGTTTCATAATTTTTAATGACCTATCTTATTATCAAAAGAAGAAAAAAATAAATGAATGATTCATGCGTATGTGTCGTTTTGCTAAAAAAACTCAAAAACATCGAAAAAGATTATCGTGGTACAACAAGGTATCGGAACCTTTCAGCATGCCTCGTAGTATATTCGGTAGATTTGTAGTTGATTGGATAAGTAATGACAATTCTGGACAAAAAAACCCATGTATTCTCTTATGGAGGTTCATTTTCGACCTTTCTGCGCATTTTTACCCTCTCCACTCATACTCTGACGTAACGTTCCTCAGTTATATTTGAGAGATGTCATCGTCAGCCATCTTTGACAACTGTCATCGTCAGCTAGGGCTTTCTATTGTTGGGAACTCAGAAATCCATAGTTTATTTATTTTGACACTATATGTCAGTGGCGTTTTTATATTGTGTGCCGTCTCGGGCTAATTAAATATGGCTGCTCTTGCTATCATACATGATAATAACATAATTGTTACAAAAAGCATTTATTTGAACTCAATTTACTTAAGAACTTTTCGTAGGGACTACTGTGACCCAAAAGAGTCAATCAAATCCAAAAACTTAGTATTTGTAAGACTGTAGTCTATGTCTTTCCGAGAGTTTGCTGCCCTCGACTTCGCCTTGGATTTAATTTTAATTAATTTACACCCGGGAGGACTTTTGTACTACACGTACATATATATAAAATTGTACCTACCCTTGAAAACAGGCAATAATTTTAATTCCATTTATTGTAGTACCTACGAGCTGATTTTAATTATACAATTGGGTCATTGGAATTATAAATCATAAAGTGTTGAAGGTTGTTATATGGTGACTTTGTCGGTTAAAAAAGTCCGGCTTAATGCTGCAATTGCAGTTATTTCTGTACACAACAGGAATGAGGGTGTAGGTAAACTAAACTGCGTATGTTTACCCAAACGTTGTGAATTTTAATGTGTGTTCTGGTGGGCGCCGATAATTAAAAAATAGAACAAATACATGGTTCGAGCACTGCAGCAAAATTAATTGGTAAATGCTGTACATCGTCAAACCAATCGGAATTAACGCCACGCGAGGTGTTATTTTATTGTAACCGTGGAAAAATATTTTTTTATTAGAGCAGGTTGCTAGGTTGATTAAAAATTTTTGCTTTAATTAGAGTTGCTTCATGCGTACCCATGTATATATTAAACTTTTAAGGTTTATGTATGGCTCTGTTAAAAAGGAAAAGTCGGATTTAATGTATGAAGGTATGTTGCAAGATTCGCGCCTAATAATGTAATTAATGTCTAAGGCGCAAGTTGGACTTAAGTCTTATAATGACATTTGTTCTGATTTTTCAAAATCATGTATAAGAATGTATGGTAGAGATAGGTATAGTCCAGAGGAATTTGGGTTTGACTTCGAATTCTTTTGAGCAAGATCGATTGACATGTTGGACAGTAAGTAAGAAAAAGCTCAAGGGTCAGAAGTTGTATACTACAGATGTGTGCTTTTATCCTAGATTGGCTTTCCTTTTGTTTTTGTAGACATCAATCGTTAAGGCCGAAAATTAAATTCGAATCTTTCAGCGTTAAATAATGTAGAAACGACGAATTTTTAAAGAAAATCTCAAATATTATATTTATATAGTGCTTCAAAAGAGCTACAAAATGAGCTCCAGTAGTTGTAGTAAAAATAATACGGTGGTCTCCTTTTTCCGAGAAAATATCAGAAGTGGTTGATTTTAGGTATTCAGGAAGTCACATAAGTCAGGACGGAAGGAGTAGTAGGGATATAAAGTAGGGGATAGCGCAGGGTCTAGTCGCCCTATGTCACTTCTATGTGGTGTTATAGGCGAATGATGAGGATACCGTGGATAGAGAAGATTAGAATTAGTCAATAAAAAAATAGGCGAGATATGTTGGTAGGACACCTTCTCAGGCATGAAGGTCTAGTCACAGACATATTAGAGGCAGGAGTTATGAGGAGTAGAGGTAGACCTAGATTAGACTACTGTTTGCAACTAGTTAATGAACTGGGGTGTTCTAAGCTTTAGGGAAATGTGAAGATTGGCTTAAGATATGAAGCAGTGGAGGTGCGTGTCTAACCAGTCTTAGGACTGACGACCTTATGATGATGATAACATAATTCTCTCTCTCATCATTTTTCGTAGTCTCGTCGGTGTCTGTTCATGAGAGATCCCACTGTATCTGTTATAGAGACATGCAAAATGGTATTTAAATAGAAAATGCAAATACGTTTTTGATTTGTTATTTCAAATTTAAAATAAAAATAAATTTCCCTGTTGTATTTTAAATACTAATTGCAAAACACTTTTTCCAAATAAATACTTTTTTGTAATACCTATTTAATTTTCTTTATTTACTTAAGTACACAATATTTTTTAAAAAAATCTTGTAGGCATTGGCTCATTTTTTCTTCATGAAAACATTTACTATTTGAACGGAATAATACACATTCTATGCCAACCCTAAAGGTCTATCGTAAATATTTATAAATCAATTTTTGAAATCGAATAGATAATTTCGAAGATTACTCCCTACACCTAAACTCAGACGATGACGATGTATGTCCGCCCTAACCAACGAAAGCATTTTCTTTTTTGAAACGAATAGTAGTAAGCGCTTTTCCAAGTTTAAGTTTGATATTGTTTGTTGACAGCTTAGGAGATATTTGAGCTTAACGGTAATTGCAGAAAAGTTTTTTTATCCCATAAGATATAACGAAAGAAAGCTTTTCGAGAAAACGGATAACGTCAAAGTGTGTGTGTGTGCTAATAATAATAACAATAATAATAGGATTTAGAAGAAAAAAGAATGTTCGGTAATTCGGTGCACACGTGTGCGTGTTTTTCCTTAGTTTTAAAAGAAAAGTTATTACACGATCTTCAAACATAAAGTATTCTAATGTTCGTGGGTTTAACAAAATTAACTTATTCTAATACTGATAACGACAAAAACTGTTTATTTATACTAATTATTGAAGAACTCAAAAACACTATTAAATTATTACTTAGGTTATGAATTATTCTATTTATTTACACTACTGTTGATATATCACTATTCACTGCCCTATTTATTTCACTGCTATCACTGTCAATTTATTTCTCGATTCACTTCTGCAACGATCAATTTATTTCTCCTCTCTCGGCGATCGTCTCTTCCTTTTAATACTCGTTTGTTTCCTTTCCGGAACCCTCTGGAAACATCCGGATCGTTTAGTTTTTCTTTGAACTGTTTAACTGCTTTCCCAGAACTCAGGTACGACACACATTTACAAATACGGCGCACATGAAGAAAGGCGCTCGCGGCTAGTTGGCGAATCGATAAGCCGTTCACACACACGTGTGCCCAATCGTACACAAATACGCTCGTGCTCGCTACAGTATAGTTAATAAAATTTTGAACATAAGATTGTAAAATTTGAAATTCTTCGTATTTATAAGCCTGGAAGGTATCTGACTTTTAAGTTTTGTGAATAGCTCTTAATAAGTTGAAAACATATGGAGAAATAGCTTCACATTTTTTAATATATATTGTATACTGACGTCATAATCAGTTCAACGTCACCTATACCGTCATGCTCGAGACGCCATTAAACTTACTAATTAGACTAGAGCTTTTGTTAATAGGACGCCTACTTTTACTCACTACAGACATTGTTGGGAATATTGTAAACATAGGAAAGAGATGTCAGGTAGGAATTGCAGCGGACACTAATAAAGAAAAAGGAAAAACATTAATATGTAACAGAACAATTAATGTGTAACAGAAACAGATGCAGACAAGCAGAATTTGAATATGTTGCCAGCATCGGACTTTAAAAACAGTTCAACATTCTCAGGAATTTAGGAAAGCAAAGGCGTTTGTTTAAAAATATAATTCAAATCAGGTAGTTATAAAGCCGACCCTGATTTTTTGCGTACCTGAGCAACCTCAAATCGCTGCATCGCTTACTGTTATTCTGTTATCTCTTTTCAATTTGTCAATACTACTACTCAAGAAGCATTTCGTAGCTTAACAGTAGCAGCAAATGCCTACAGTCCCAACTGGAAACAAGAAAGAAGATACGTCCATTCTCATAGATTGTGGATTTTGGTCGTCCTAGCTATATGCCATCTGCAAATCTAAGCATAGTAATCTTTTGCCGTATATTGTTTGAATAAATATTTTTGAGTTTGATATTTTTTCGCTGTAATTGTGTATTTTTTGAGTAAAATTAATTGTCTAAATTCTGTTTTGTTAATTTGTAAATTCGAACTGCTTTTATTTTTACTTTAGTATTCACCTTTGTCTGTGACTATACAAGGTCAGTTCAAAAAGTCCAACGAATTTTTAATTTCCGCTGGTTACGAATATTCGATTTTCGATTACTTTGTGGCATTATGTTGGCATTCATGTTTCTCAGTTATACCGACGAGTTCCGCTATGTTGAATGTTCAGTTAATTTTAGACAGCTGCTTTGCTTGCACTTATTTTGGCTGGTCTTCGATTTTTGCCTATTCTAAAGGGTTGTTCGGAAAGTCATTTCGTTTTTTCCCGACAGAGGATTTAATTGTACTCTTTAGCACCCAACTTCACATTTAAGCCCTATAATTTTTATATGCTTTGAGAGCTCATATAACAAGGCTTGTGTGTGAAAAATTCTAATTAATTCTACGCAGTAGGTTTTGGTTGGTGTCCTTTTAAATATGGAGAGCGATAAGCAGCATTTTCGAAATATCTTACTGTTGAAGATGCACCACGTTCGGGAAGGCCGGTTGAAGCTGATAAAGACGCGATAAAGGCATTAGTTGATGTGAACCGGCGAATAACAACACGTGAGATCGGATTGAGGTTAAATTTATCAAATTCAACAGTTTAT